AACACTCTCAATTCATTGAAAAAACCCGAGTCACAGACAAAAATGCATAAAAAGTATTAATTTCTTTCCAGTTGTTTTATTATGATCAGTTCTGTTCTGACATCAATAGAAGATTTAGTACGATTAACTAATTTGGCACAAATATATTACAAAATTTGCCTGCTTATATGTAGCATATATTTGGAGGTTTAACATACTATTTTCAGTAAATTATGTTTTTATGTATGATTTTGTAGCAAAATTAGCACGCTATTTTTAATTTCCTCGTTCTATTTCATGCTATTCATACTATTTCAGGAATGTTTAACATGCTATCCCTGACAGCAAAATGAGGTTTATTTTTACTCAGCAAAAACCTTTCAATGTAAACCCAAAAAGGTTTGTTATGCGGTTTACGTGTAAACTGTCTAACCTTAAAACGAGATCTGGGACACTATGCTCTATTCTATGCACATTAATCTAATCCAAAACCTTGGAAAACAACCTTTTGTATAAAAACCTCAAATTGAGGTTGTCTTAGGGTTTTCAAGCGTGAAAAAATGCTTTAATAAAGCTAGTCTGAAGGTTAAAATAATCCTAAATCTAAGTAATTGTAAGGTTTCTTTTAGCAACGTCTTGTATGCTCAGCTAAAATTCACCTTGTCCTGAAATTTCATTGGACAATGTCGAGCGTGACATCAGATAAAACGTCACTATGGACCTAAGAGACCATTTTACCTAAGTGACAAAACTTTTTAAAAAAGCTTTAAAAAAATAATTTTCAATCCTTTTAGGATGAAAGGTTTTAAACTGCAATATTTTTGCTTTATTGAAAAAAGGTTTTTAGCACAAACATTTTCGCGACAATAAAAAGAAAATTTCGACGCAAGGTTGCCTTAAGGTTGCAATGCTTTCTGGGTATAGATCTAAGAATATCTTATCTATAATCGAGTGATCCTTAGTAAACTTTCTACGCTGTTGCTTTAAAGCAATGCTATATTTTTTCGAACAGATCCAAAGTATCTGTTACATAAAATACTAGTTACGTAAAATATACTTTGATACTATACAGATAATACTACGTAAAGTCTCTTCAATGTCATTTTCAGGACACCGCAATCCGAAGAAATCCTTTTCATACTCACGTTAATGGTATGTTTTTTGTGTTCATGTAAATATAAAAATTACTTCAAAATCCTTCACTGCACAAAAGAAAGAATTTTATTCATGATTTTTAAGCAAAATTAACACTCGATTTTCTCATTTACTCATTCTATTTCATGCTATTTATACTATTTCAGGAAGCTTAACATGTTGTAGATCTAACAATATCTAATCTATAATATGTAGTATAATCCTAAGTAAACTTTCAGCGCTGTTATTTTAAAACAATCTTATTTTTTAGATCACATCCGAAGTATCTGCTACATAATATACTAGTTATGTAACAGATACTTTGATACTATAATACTATACAGATAATACTACGCAAAGTCTCTTCAATGTCATTTTCAGGACATCACAATCCGAAAAAATTCTTTTCATACTCACGTTAATGTTATTTTTTGTATTCATGTAAATATAAAAAATACTTCAAAAACCCTTCCCTGCACAATAGAAAAGGTGAATCGAAAATCCATTACACCAGTTTTTTTTCTAAAATGTCGAACACTTCACGCATCAAATTCCAAGTTGCTTCTTTGAAAATCACCTTGAATCTTCTCTTTCATGTGGGCGTAAAAAGATTGGGATTTTTTTTGGAAAGATTAGAAGGGAGAGAGAGAGAGAAAAAGAGAGAAGTCAGTTTTATACAATTTTAAATCAATTTTTAAAATTTTATTTTTCGAACCCTGGTATCTGTTATCAGCACTAGGGAAAAAAGAAAATGGATAAATGCCAAAACAAAGAACGCTTTTACGCCCACTGTGATAACTATCGATAAATCACTCTAAATGCCTAAAAAGAATTTGGAACAGTGATTGAATGTGACTATTAAGGACAGACTTTTATAGTTAAATGTATTTCAAATCTTATAAATATATATATATATTTTTTTGCTTCGTTGACGCAATTATTGATGCCAGAATTTTGAAGTGTTAGTTATTCCATACCTTATTTTTATGGAATAGTTAATGGTATGGTATGGTATTATACCTAGATATCGATAAATCATTCTAAAAGCCTCAAAAGAATTTTGAACAATGATTGAATGTGACTATTAAGAACAGTATTTTATAGTAAAATGCATTTGAAATATATATATATATATATATATTTATTTGATTTTTTGCTATTCCATTTTAAAGGTAATAAGTTAACTTTTATAATCGGTTCTATTGTTTTGAAAAAATAAAAATCAAATTTGATTATAAACTTTCAAAACTTCAGATAATTCAAAAATGTTAATCAGTTTGTTATA